AAAAAAAAAAAAAAAACAGGAATGAGCATGCCACGTCTAGATTCTTACTAACCCTAACCCAAACTATGGAGACCAAAGATAATAATGTATGGTCTTCACGAAAGAGGCACACATTCTGAGTGGTGAGTATGTGGGCAAAACAGAAAGTGAACAGTGTGGTTTGTGTAGCTGGGCAAAAACCTGAGCGAACAGGCACGGGGCCAAGAGAACTCCACAAGAGAGGTGCTTGCAAACCAGAGGCGTTAAATGGTGGGTCTCAGTCTTTCCCACTGAGAGCTTTCCTTCCTCCTCTAAGGGCCTACGTCAGCGACAGGCAAGGCTCTACCTTCACTGTGAAACAAGGTACTTTCAGGAAATCAGCAGTAAACAGGCCACCTTCAAAAGCCGGGTGGGTGGCCCGGGCATCTGGGGTGCAAGTTGACGAAGTAAGTCCTCATGACCTTCAGGGAGACCTCAGCTAGTTACTTGGGGGATGAGGAGTGTGCAGTGGGCGGGCTCTGCCCCTTCCTCTCCTATGCCTGAGAAGTCAGGCAGGTGCTCAGGTGGCTGGAGGAGAACTGTGCGGGCCAGCACGGCAAAGCCACAAGTGTCCTTGCAAACAGGAAGGAAGATTCCACTGGGATACAACACAGCTTTTGGTATGCATACTTGTAACGTCCGCTCTTCAGAATTCAGGGGCCAGAGTCCCTCCGGAAAAGTGACAGCTAGGCTATCTGTACAATTTCAGGTTTCTGAAAAGCAGGTTTAAAAAAAAAAAAAAAAAAAAAAAACTGACAGAGGACAAAAAAAACAACAACAACAAAAAAAGAAAAAAAACCCCAAACAACGAAACAACAGTGCTTCATAAAAGCAGGGAAATTTGTCTCCTCATCCCCTAAGCCCAGGGCCTGGAAGAGCGCCCATCTCAGTGCATGAAGCCCACGGGCTAGCCTGGAATGGCTCCGACACAGCAATCCAACAAAAAGTCTCAATAGTAAGCAGAGTAGCTAGTAATGAAGCCGGGAGAATTCCCTCCGATGAGACCGGCTGTAAAGTGGAGTGGGACATGAGGGCACACCTGCCACTAGGGGGCCAGAAGGGCCGCTGGCAAAGGAGTCTGGGGACATCCGAGGGAAAACTGTGTCCAAGGGGAGGGGCCAGGGCCCGATGCCACCTCACAGCAAAACCGACTCCCTGAACCTGAGACCCAGGCTCCGCACTAGGGACTACTCGGCAACGGTCCCATCTCACAGGCGTCACTTTGTGAATGCTGATAGTACCTCATTAACACGGCAGGAGAAAAATGAAACAGACCAAGGGCTTGCGTATTTTAGTAGGCAAGGAACTCTTTAATGTGGGCAGCAGGTGCCGATGCAGCCAGCCTAGAATTTTCATTCTTTACAGACAATCTTTGTAGTGCATTGTTCCCGTAGAATGTCTGCAAGGATTTTTAACTCCTTGGCTGATAATCTGGCTGGTCCAGAACCCTGGGTAGTACTATTTTATACTTCATTTATTTCTAGCACTTCTAAGTAGGAAGTGCATTAAACTCAGAGTGCACTCAGAGGAAGTGCATTAAACTTGCAACTTGCTTTTTAAAACTGTATTTTAGAAACCATGATGTTAATATTGGACTCTCAGAATTTTAAGAGCACTGGATCTGACTTCACTCTTTTCTCTCACACGTACCCACTTTGTCTTTGCCAGAGGAACCGATGAAATATTCCACATTGTATCTGAGAAAGGTGGACTTACAGAAATTTCAGAAAAAACAAAATGTCTTTTTTCCAAGTTACCCATTTTGATCTTATTTACACTTTGGAAAAGAAGAGACTCCCTTCCATTTTCCTACTGACCTCCACAGTTAAAAGGAAAAAACTTACTGAACATTTTATTAAAAAATGTCCTTACCTTTTACTTGGTCAAAGCAGGCATTTGAGAAGATTCTAGAACACGTTAGATGTTGAATAGTTGTGATAGAAAACTGGCTAGGCTTCACTCAAAATAAACCCTCCCAGCTTCCTTCCTGCAGAAGCAAGTCCTAACCAAGTGTGACCATTGAACACAGAAATCTGCCTTTGTACTTCCATCTAAAATCCCTAAAGCCAGTTCTTAGCAAGGCTCTAAAACTACAGATTTATTTTATGACCAAGCCATTTGAAAACATGGGAAAGATACTATACTTTGCTTTTGGAAACCAGGCAACACCTATCTGTTGCATTACAGAAACCGTGCCATCGAGGAAGCTGGCTGCTGCGCTGGCTGTCAAGTCTGGAAGGTGCGCACTTACTGTGCAACCAGCATGCCACCTGTACAGACATGTAGGACATGTACACAAAAACTAGATTTATTTTTTATTATTTTTAAAAGTAAGCTCTATGCCCAACATGGGGCTCGAACCCAACGAGCCTGAGATCAAGTGTCCACGCTCCACTGACTGAGCCAGCTGGGCGCCACCAAAAACAAGATTTCAATTGCCAAGGGCACTGAAGGACTTACCCAGGGCTCACAAAAATAAGCCTAACCTGGCTTAACTTTAAAAGCAGAGAAATCTCTTAAAAGGCAAAAACCAATCTGTACAGTCACATACTTCTAAGATGTGAGGACTTCTAGAGGGGGCTCAGTCGGTTAAGCATCTGATTTCAGCTGAGGTCATGATCAGGTCATGAGTTCGAGCCCTGCGTTGGGCTCTGTGCTGACAGCTCAGAGCCTGGAGCCTGCTTCAGATCCTGTGTCTCCCTCTCTCTCTGCCCCTCCCCTCCCCA